TACAGGATATTTGGGTTGTGTCTGGGTAGAGAGAGAAAGAGGGAAGCTTTGCCTAGGTTGGGAGAGGCTGGCTGCCATCAACTGTCTGAGGAAATGGGGTGAGTCTCTCAGAAGGCCTTTCTTAGTCCTTTTCCCCACCCTTGCCCAAGGTCAGATGGGGGCCACTTGCGTGAAGGTCTAGGCTGCTGCTTCTCTTCGTCTCTTAATTTGCCTGCCCTGCACGAGCCCTTCCTGGTGAATCCCAGCAGATTCTGGGCTCCATGACAGCAGAGGACCTTTTGTGTGTGGCTCACTCACTCATGCATGTGTGTTCTGTCATTGGTGGAGACCCATGTGCAGGCATGCTGTCTGAGGGGAGAAGCAGCGCTTCCCCATACCACATGCAACCAGTTGGAATTTGGCCGTTGCTACACCTTCTTATTTCACACTTTCCCCCTTGCACTGGAGAGAAGTATGATATCAGCAGGAGAAAAGACAATGAAAAAGTCATGTTCTTGTGACAGTTTCATTTCTGTTTCGTACCCACTGGATCTTCCTTGACTGTTGGGAGCCGACTTCAAGGGCCTCCCCTTGGCATGCTCCCTCTTCTCCCGGAGCAGCATGATCCCTCCCTCACTCCCTCTCTTGTGCTGGACATGGTGCAGCTGCAGTAGGTTCCTCCATGGAGCAGTCATTCAGCATGGGGTGGGTCTGCTTGCCCCAGTTCCTTTTGGCGCCCCTGGAAATTCCACGCTATAGGTGGCCTATATAGTCAGGTTGGCCCTGCCATTCAAAAATAACTGTCAATGTATAAATAACATCTGATTAAATAACATCGGATGAAGTGTGCATGCACAAAAAAAGCTTATACCCAGAATTAAATTTTGTTGCTCTTAAAGGTGCCACTGGACTCAAACTTTGTTCTATTTATATGTGTTGTATAAATTTATACATTAATTGCGTGTTTATCATTGCAGTTAACAATTCTAAATTAAAAGTGGCTGTCCTACTAAAGATGATATCATAAAACATACGATTTGTAAACAGGCTTTTCTGTCCCAACTATCTTTTACTTCTCTTGCTGTAATAGGATTCTTGAGCACATTCTGGTGCTGATAGATGCATTCCTTTTGTTAGATAAAATGGTTGTTCAGTCAATGGGTGTTAATTGCTGTTCCAATGCTGCAAAATGTTGAATGTGTGTATTCTTAATTTCATATAAGATTCTGCTAGCACGGAATCCTGTATGTTTTTATGTTATATAAATATATTTAAAAATCTGAAACAGGCACATTTTGATATTATTACAGTTGGTACATTATAGGGAGAGCAAACTTTCTTTTATATTATGATTAGACAGCACCCTGATTTTGGCATCTTTTCAGAACCATTTGTGAATTTAGCCTTAGCAGTTTGTTTAACCAAACATCACCCTCATACATTTTATATGGTACCTCCCAGCTGAGGCCTGTCTATAACAACTAGTGTATTCTGCGACGAGTTGCTCAACAGATGTCATTCTGGTTGAATAATGAGCTAGAATAGTTGTGCGTTGGCTAACATTACTCAAACTTTGATCACTTTTGTTCAGCACATCAGTCTGGCATTGTGCATTATACCAACATAACACTATAACCAGAGCATGCCTTTCAGGCTTAGAATAGCAAAGGAATGTTATTGAAATCAGTGCGGTTACAGATGAGTGAATGAAAAAGGAGAATACTGTTTATTTCATAATGCTGTAGTGTTGTAGTTTGGAATTAGAAAGGAATGTATGGAATCTAACTCCAGATTTAGTAGTTTTATTTCACATGCTTTTTTCCTTTTCTTTTTTGCTTTTAAGCTTTATTGACCTTGTGTGACTGTTTTCATATGTAATGTTAGATAGATGAAATGATAGATTTTGGGACTATAGAAACATTAATAATTAGTGAAATAAAAACTACCATGATTAATTCTGGTCCAGGCTGTAACAGAAGTATCCTATAGGAAAAATATTTTTGATTTTATGGTTAATTTATAAAGCTAAGAACTGTTTTAGAAAATTCAAGTAAATTGTTATTATATTATGGTTATAACTTGTAGTGCATTTAAAAAAAAATCCCATGTAGATATGATTTAATGTAGTACATACTCTATAGCGTGCAAAAGCTGGGGGAAAACATATGCAGTGAATGAAGTCCGTATGTATGTCCCCAGCTATTGTATACCACACAAAAATATGCTGACACCTTGAGGCATATTTACATGGTGTGCATTGGATGGGGGAGGGGGAATCTTATGCCTTTCAGACTGTTGGATCAATCAAATAACACACAACGTTGCATAAGCTTTTGGGTTTTCCAGAGCTCTTCAACAGTGTTGATATTTAAAATGGGGGTGAGGAAAGAGAGAGAGAGAGAGAGAGAGAGACTCTGTTTCAGGCCCTGAACTTAAGTTCTCTTGGCACTATCCTGTACGTAATGGCCGGGCAGGTGGGAACAGATGAAGCATTGTTGGATGGAGCTGGAATGAGATTGTACCTATGTACTTCTGGGAAGACTCCAGTTGGAAATATAAAAAATAGTAGTTGATGAAATATCTCTCCAGTATTAAAATGGAACATACAGGTCCCTTGAAAAGTTAAGGGCAGAGGAAAATAAGATTAAATTTAAATTTAAATTACATACTAGATAAATAGTCAATGTAAGTCAGTTGGGCAATAGATGGGAACCCCATAGGAACAGTAGTTTCCAGGGTATTTTTCCTTTATTTCGATTCAGGTATTTCCAAAATAGAAGTTCATGTCATGTGTCTAGAAATAAAGCAAAAGTTTTCTGGACCTGTCCTTTTTTCATAGTAATTGCATCAGGGGCAAGTTCAAGACTTGGGGAGACCCCAAGCAAGATGTTTCCTCTGCATCACATGCATAGGGTGCCAGGCATTGCCTGGCAAGCTGTGGGAGATGGGAGTAGTGGTGACCAGTGTTCCCTCTAAGATGAGTTAGTGTGAGCTAGCTCACAGTTTTTTAGCCTTTATGCAGCAGCCAAATCGCTTGCTCACAACTTTAATGCCAGTAGCTCACACAGTAGAATTTTTGCTCACAAGACTCCACAGCTTAGAGGGAACATTGGTGGTGACTTACATTTGGTGGGATTATGATGCCTCTGGCTCAATACTGTCATTTTCAGCATTGTGTATGGATGAATTTCTAGCATTCACCCAGAACTCTATAGTTTAATTATAGACTTTAAACATAGAGTTTTGGGCGAATATTAGAGCATCACCCAGTGTGATAATATCAAATCCAGGTTGTGCCAGAAACAACAAAATTATACCAAAGATGTCAATCATGCCCCTCCCCCCGCTGGTGAGTTTTCTCCTTAACCCCAGCTAAGCAACAGCAGGCAGTGTCCTGCTACATGAGGAGGCCTGGCTATCTTACACATGCATACATACTTACACTTTATCTCCTTGAGTGGCAGTGCTTCTTCATTCCCTCCAGCATAGATTGTAATGATCTCCCATTTTCTGCTGGAGGAAGTAGAGCCATGACTCTTTCTGTATTCCTCGTAGAACTACAGCATCGGTGGGCTTAGAAGAATTCTACATCACTTTCTTTCCTCTGCTACTGTTCTAGCAGAAATGGGAGAACATCCCATAGTCCTTCAATGACCCCTGCCACTTCCTGGTGTAGAGGTTTTGGAGGGAACAGAGTGCAAGTCTTTCATGAGAAAGCATGCTCCTCTGCACCCTTCAGATGCTCCAGTGTTACAGGGGCTTCTTGGGTAGGGATGACAGGCCACCCTTTGCTTTGAATGGATGTGACATTGGTGTGTGTGTTAACAAGCCTGTCTAGATGAAAACCCAAACATGTCAGTGCATCAACCGATGCTCTAAAACCATATGGTAATAGTATAGAATTTCTAGAGCATCAGCTAACATGCTGACATCTCATCTGGGGTTTGTCCCAGATATGACCTCAGTATATACCCAATGTCATTTCTGCCCCTCACTGTTCTTCCATCAGTCCCAGTGGCGAGGGTGTGTGGGAGAATACTAGAGCAGAGGGTCCAGTGGTGGGAGAATACCTGCCCAAAGTGTGCAACTGTCATCTATTCTCCCATTTCCTGGTAGAAGACAACAGGCCTAGGGTCTTTGGTCATGGATGGCCAGCAGTGTGTTACATATCAACCATATTACTTATGGAGAATAAGATTAATGATTAGTGCACTGGAGATTCTATTTGTTTTTATACTCTAGCACCAATTTATTCTCCAAGCTTTTTTCTGCTTTTGCCTATTGTAAAATAATCTCTAAATTTAATTGTGAAATATAAATTGTGTACTGTTTGTTTAGGTTCTTGTTGTGTTTTGATACACACTGGAGAGCTTGCCTTAGAATTTTTCATCTTATTGAAAAATAGAGTTGATTTAAATCTATGTCCATCAATTATACATATATCTTGATACATATCTTTAGAATTATACATTATCTTTAGAATGAAGATGTGAAAGTTACGTTTACTTATCTGTACTTTTTTGCTTGACATATGACTTTTCTATCTCCTTTCTCAGCTGGTTGTGTCTCATTCTACAGTGTCTTGAGATTAATTTGGAAGTAAAAAGGACACTGATTGTCAGGAGTGTATGTGTAAGACTAGTGTTGAGGCAATTCCAAAATGACATTACAAAGTGACATTTCCTAGCAAAACTCTTATATAATGATGACAATACCTTTCAACTTAAGTAGGTTGTTTAAAGTGAAAGTAGGTTATTTAAAGTATGTTGTTTAAGAGGGTAATGGTTCCACTGGTGTACTGTTTAGAAGGTAGCTAGCTTGATGGAGTATTATAGGATGCTCTGTGCTTATCAATATTTCTCAGTTTTGATTTCCGTATAAGTAAAATATCTTAATTTTCTTACATTGTTATTCATAGACTGAACAAGATTTCCACATTTTCAAAGATTGCATAGATGATAAATTGTAAGGATAATAGTTGTATATTTAAAACATCTCTGTTTTGTTTTGTTTTTTTGTAGGTTAAGCGGAATGTGTATGACCTGACTAGTATTCCTGTTCGCCATCAGTTATGGGAAGGCTGGCCTGCTTCTGTAACAGATGACTCAGTAAGTCACCGCACTAAACACTATTCTCATTTTTTCCAACATGCTTTGATGTCAGTCTCCATTTGAAGGACTTATTGCATGGTAAAAATGCTCCTGTTTGCAGCACAAATACTAAAAAATTCCTTGATCAATCCTGCAACCTGCTGAAACATTTATTTAGTAAACTGTTTTGAATAAGGTTATTAAATTACTAATTATACTGATAAAATGACCACAATTTCTGAGCACAGTCTACAATTCCTAATATGTACTTTGAGTGATTGTATACAGGCATCGTATATCTTATGAGTGTCAAGTGTCCCAAATGAGTGAACAGAGATTCATTTTTGTGGCTTCTGTGCAATCCCACATAGGACTGTATGATTGCAGGCCATTCACAGAGAAGAGCTTCCAAGCTTTTTAAAGAATGTTCTAGACCTTAGGAGTCCTCCCCCTTGCCTCCATCTGCAGACTTCTCTTTCCTGCCCAATGGGTCAGATGACGGAGGCAGGGAGAACACTTTCCCCTCAGTTCTCTTCTTGCTGCATGAGGAGAGGGCTAGCTTCCTTGAACTTCTCTGAATTCATTAAGAGATTGAAGAAGAATTTCTGAAATATTTTTCATAAAAGCGATCTACAAAATGGGTAGGATGGCTCTCTTTAAAAAAAATGTGAAGAGTGTGGGGCAATACTGGCCCAAAATAATGAAAGCAAATCATGTCTCTTATGTTTGGGAGATGGCCACAACACAGCCTCTTGCCTAGTTTGCTGCTGGCTTACCCCTAAAGCCTAAGATAGGAGAGCAGCGGGACTCAAAGCTGCATTATGGGTGAAGGAGAAGATCAACCCATGACAGAATTTTTCAGGGCTCTGATTTGGAGGAAGGACTGGACCAAGCCTCAAAGGCAGACTCTGAAAACACCTCAGTGCCTTCTCCTGATGAAGCCTTCAGAGACTCACTGGCTCCTTCCCCTATGGAAGATTTAAAGCTGTAGTCTGAACAGCTTGTGTTGATGGCCAAGGCATTGGAATTGGAATCCATTCTGTAGAACCACAATCCACTGATCCAATAATGAAAACCTTGTATAACCCTGACTCTGGGCCCATCTGATCAACAGCAGCATGTTAACCAAGAAGTGACTTGCAAAGTTTCACACTGTCATCATGAGAGCAGGAAGACTCCCAGGGGAATTCAAGAAAGCAAAGATAGAACTTCCGGTCTATGGAACAGCGATGGCGGACGCTAGCTGAGTGGCCTTCGGGCATAAGCTGGACTGACTGGGACAAGCGCTGGAGATCGGGCAGAATGGCGTAAAATTGAGCGTCGTCAGAGAAACTGACCGACAATGAACGTGAGTTCTGAATAAAACGGAGTAGTTTGAACCCCCCCCCCCGCGGTTGAAAATAGTGATTGCAAAGAGGGATGCCACTTGTGCAAATGAGCGTCTAATGAACACGAAGGGGGAGAGGGGAGGAAGTAAACCGAAAGTGTTTTGAGAGACTTATCTGATTCGCGAAGTTGTTTGGTGAGTTTTCCGAGTTGTGTGGAAGCGGTAGAAAGTGTAAACAAAACGGGAAAGATGGCGGCCCAGCAGAGAAAGTTTAAAACGAAGCCAGGCAGTCAGAGTCCGAGACCAGAAGAGGGAGCAGATGTCCTCAAACTCCTGGTGGATATGCTCAAGCCGGTGATGCAGCAACTCGATGGTATTAACCAGCAATTGACCGTGATGAATAGAAACTTTGTGGCACAGCAGCTTCAGCTGAATGAAACAGAGAAAAAAGTGGAGCAGGCAAACGAAAAAATTAAAGAGATAGACACTTATGTTTGGGAGATGGCCACTTCTTCTGTGAGTCCCCTCCTTTTGGGATCCTACACAAGGTGGTGTCTGTCATTAGTCAGCCAGCTGAGGCTGCTAACACTCTTGTCTGCGACTCCAAGGCGACAGAAGCAGGTCCTCATGCACCAGTTGCTGACGACAGCATGTGCTTTAGCCCCACAAGCATTGAGACCACCGAGGAGTTAACCCTGAAAGGCGGCAGCTCAACAACCCAGGGTCCAGAAGAGACTCCAGAGGTTGCCTTTTCCCCCTTCCCCGGAGTCAGGGGAACATAGGAGACAACGGAAGAAGAAGAGAAGAGATTGGATTTATACCCCGCCCTTCACTACCCAAAGGAGTCTCAGAGCGGCTTACAAACTCCTTTTCCTTCCCCTCCCCACAACAGTCACCCTATGAGGTAGGTGGGGCTGAGAGAGCTCTGACAGAAACTGCTCTTTTTCAAGAACAGCTGTGCCAGAACTATGGCTTTCCCAAGGTCATCTAGCAGGTACAAATGGAGGAGTGGGGAATCAAACCTGTTTCTCCCAGATTAGAGTCCGCGCACTTAACCGCGACACCAAATGGACACTCCTGGAACTCCTCGAGAGGAGGCAGAGCGCATGCCTCACTGCCCGGCGATTACCGAGTCAGGAGGAACACCTGGGACTAAGGAGTGAAGCAAACGGCTCACTCATGAGCTCAACAAGACCCAGCTGTGAGCCACTCTTAAAGGAAAGAACCCCAGATAGCTCAGGCATGGGAGCAACTCGTCACAATTCTGTAGACACTGCGACCACAGCACCAGATCCTGCTACCTCCTGGAACTTGAACTCCTGGTTTTGACCTTCAGACCCACTTAACCACCCCTCTTGGACCTGCTCATATCTCGTTTGCTGTTTGGACTCTCATCTGGCTTTCTCCATGCATGACTTTTGGACTGAACTATTGGCTACGTGATCCTGGTTGGTGCTCTGTCTTGTTGCCTTGGTCCCCACTGCCTGAGCCTGCCCTGAACCCAGACAATGTCAAAGCTAAAAGCAGACAGGAGCACATGCATCTTAATAGCAGCATACTGGCCAAGGAGGGTGTGGTTCCCCACACTGTGGGCATTAGCTAAAGGAGTTTACAGAACCCTACCACCAGCGAATGACCTGCTTTACATAGGGCCAATTTGTCACCCAGACGTGAGATCCCTACATCTAACAGTCTGGTTGATCCAACAGTAGAGGACTTTTAGCAAAGGGTAGAACAGGTTATAGTAGCTTCTCAAAAACTTGCCACACAAAAAACATATGCTTCAAAATGGAAAAGATTTTCTTTATGGACTAACAAATAAAATATTAATCCTCAGACTTGAGAATTAGCAAAGATATTTGATTATCTGCTTGCTTTGAAGAATGACAGGCTTGCCTCATCCTCTATTAAGGTACATCTGGCTGCCATTTCGGCATATCATGGGTCAGTCAAAGGTTACTCAGTGTTCTCCATTCCCAAATTGAGAAGATTCCTTAAAGGTTTGCAAGATATGTTTCCACCTATTGTAACCCCTCTTCCTCAATTGAGTTTGTCTTTGGTCTTAACCAGGTTGATGTATAAACCATTTGAACCGATGAGTAAGACTGATTTGCCATTTCTGTCATACAAGACAGCCTTCCTGGTAGCAAACATGTCTGCCAGAAGGGTGGGGGACTATGGGCACTGAGTTGTGACCCTCCTCCATTTGTTAAGTTCCACGCAGATAGAGTATTGCTCAGGCCCAACTTAGAATTTCTTCCTAAGGTAGTGACTCAAGTTCACTTGAATCAGGGTATCAACCTCCCAGTATTTTTCCTATCACCGATATCCGCGTCGGAATAAACATTACACATACTGGATGTGAGAAGGGCACTCATTTTTAATTAAAATGGACTGTGAAATTTAGGCGGGATAGGAATTTGTTTGTTTTAAGGGGTCTAATAAGGGGAAGGCTGTATGCGCTCAGTCATTATCTAGATAGGTGGTCTCTGCCATCAAGACATCTTACAGCGGAGCTAAGGTACTTTACCCCATCAGTCTGAAGGCTCCACTCCACAAGGGTTCAAGCTTCATTAGTGGCTTTCCAATCCAGACTTGCACTAGACAACAGGCAGGCAGGCAGGCAGGCAGTACCTTTATTGGCATAGGTTATAAGCATAAACAACCGGTTCAAGGTGCTGGTACTTATCTTTAAAGCACTACCTTTGGGACTGCCTCGTCCCATATTTTATTTATTTATATTTACATTTATATCATGCCGTCCCCGCCATTCGGCAGGCTCAGGGTGGCTAACAACATATATAAAAATACATTAAAATTCCATTAAAACTGTCAATCAATATAAAATAATCCAACTTATATTAAAACTTGGCGAATCTTCCGATATCGAATGTCAACTGAACACTGTCCACTGGCTCACGCTCAGCTATAAAGTCTCGGTTGGTGGTGCTGTTGGTACTGTCGGTACCAATAATGGTACAGTTGTTGGCACAGTTGGTAATCAGGCCAGGGCCAGTTGTTGACACAGTTGGTAATCAGGCCAGGGCCATACAATTGAGGTGGCACCCTACTTAAAAGCCTGGCGGAAGAGCTCTGTTTTACAGGCCCTGTGGAGCCTGTAAAATATGAGCCCCGCAGGAACTTACAATCTATTAGTCACCACCTCCTGGTGGTTCCCGGCCCCAGCGACGTCTGACTTGCCTCAACGAGGGCCAGGGCTTTTTTGGCCCTGGCCGCTACCTGATGGAATGAGCTCCCAGTAGAAATCAGGGCCCTGTGGGACCTATTACAGTTCAAGAGGACCTGCAAGACAGAGCTCTTCCACCAAGCTTTCAGTTGAGGAAGCTGGCACCCACCTGCTATTGGCCTTCCCTCCAGTGACCTCAGATCTGAATGGCCACCTGGGAACAAACTGCTTCTTATTGAATTCTGTTGAGGCACTGGTCTTTTATTGATAACTGGTTTTAGATATATTTTAACTGTTGATCTATTGTACTGTGAATTTTATGATGGAACCTGCACTGAGCCTGCTTGCGGGGAAGGCGGGATATAAATAGAATTAAATAAATAAATAAATAAATAGGGATCATCCATCAAAAGATTTAACCTTATGCTCCCTAATCCTCATAACAATTAGAAAATACCTTGCTACTGAATAGGTAGTATAGGAACACTGGTCCAACAAAAGAAGGAAAACAAGCCTCTCATCAGAATGGCCATGGAAATTATGCAAGAGGGGATTAATTAAAAAATCCCT